TATAATATATTAATTAATAATAAATAATTACTTAATCAAAATAATTTAAGTAATATGGGCCTACTATGTGCTAAGCATAGTCTGGTGATGCAAAGCCACAAACAATCCAGTCCCTGTCCCCAAGGAGGACATACATAGATATAAACAAAATATACATAATTACAAATGTAAATATACAAGATATTAAACTATGAAAGCCTAAAAATGCACTAAGACTTTTGGGACATGCTATATATAAAATGTTCTTTAATGTTTTAAAATTGTCCTAAGCACCAACACTCCCAGCTTTTCACAGTGGTGTTTCAGGCTTCTCAGTGTTTAGCATTTAGTAAAAGGAAGGAAATAGGGACTAGACCAGTGATTTCATCGATACAAGGAATTTCCAGGAAAGGAAATTGTCAAGTACTCTAGGTTACCACCTTAAATAATTCATCTAAGGGTCATATAGCCAATAAGCTGCTGTTGTTCAGTCATTTCATTTGTATCTGACTGACTCTTCGTAATTTCATTTGGGGTTTTCTTGGCAAAGACTTCCTTCTCCAGCTAATTTTATAGATGAGCAAACTGAGGAAACTTAAGTGTCTTGCTCAGGGTCACATAGCTGGTTAGTGTCTGAGGCCAGATTTGAACTCAGGTTTCTTGAGTCCAGGCTCCAGCATTCTATTCACTGTACCACCCACATAGCCAGTATGGGGCAGAGGTAAAATTTGAACCCAGGTCTTCATGCCTCCTAACATCAGCTTTCTATCCACTATGCCATGCTGCCAATCAGTATTCAGTGGCCATTCAATTAATATTTGTTAGCAATGATCCTATAATAGAAGCAGTCTGGTGTGGTGGATGGACTGCTAGCTTTGGAGCCATGATGACCTGAGTTCAAATTCCGTCTCTCATCTCTACTGGCTGTGTGACCCTGGGAAAGTCACCTAATTTCTCAGTGTTCTAGGTGACTCTCAGCTGCAGAGAATGCAATGATCTGCATTGGTAGAAGGCATTTATTTTCAAGGGGATTCCCTATACCAATACCAGTCCCTGTTCCCTATCCCCTTTATTAAAATTCGAAACCAAAATCTAATGAATTACATATTGGCTTTTCTTTTTAACAGAATAAACATTCCCCGTGAAATCTTATTAGTATTCATTTGCTTGATACACTCGCTTAGTGCTAAAGTCAATTTCAAGTAAGTTTTCAGTCTGTTTTCCAAGTTATTGCATGTTATAGATGAGTGGGACCCACATTAAAGAGACTTTATCACACCAGCTTCTGCTTTTGAGCAACACACATTCTTCATTCACTTGGCTTCTCCTGTATAGATAATTAGGCCAAACCTTTTTGACTGGCTATGGATCTCCTGTAGAAGACTCTGCACTGTGCTGAGATTTATCGTGATGGACACAATGTCATCCGTAAATAGGAGTGCCTGGAGAACCTTATCATCTTCAAGGAATCTGCAGCTCGGACTCTGCCCTAGATCTCTGCCTTAACCTTTGTCAAGGGTATATCACCCTATTTTTTGCCGCACTTGATAATAATGATCAGAGGTTCATTGAACAGGTTATCTCTGTTATATCTTTTAAGGAATCTTGTAGAATTTTGAAATATGCTTTGGAGAAACCATGTTGGAGGGGAATGTTTAAGGTGGCATTTTGCTCTTCCAATTCAGTTTTTTTTTTAAATAAGCAACTCACAGTAATTACAATGGCATCTTGTATTCTTACATCTTTCAGTCATTTGTATAGGGTAAAGATATAATCTATTGTGAAACATGTTTGAGAAACTCTTCATTCATACAAGTGGATGACAAATGCCTATTGTCCAGACCACAGGTGTCAAACTTTTGGCCTTAATACCTACCTGCAAAACTCTCCAGTATTGTCAAAATCAGATTAAAATGTAATTGAGAGGGGCAGCTAGGTGGCACAGTGGATAGAGCACTGGCCCTGGAATCAGGAGGACCTGAGTTTAAATGTGACCTCAGACACTTGACACTTACTAGCTGTGTGATCCTGGCCAAGTCACTTAACCCTGACTGCCTCACCAAAAAAAAAAAAAAGTAATTGGGAAATATTTAACAAAATAAACCAAAATACAATAGAGATGATGTTAGCCTGTGGTTTTCTAAGTCAGTAACAGCCTGTACATGTGTGTCTATTTGAGTTTGTTACTATTGGTTCAGACTTTGTTTTGCAAGTGGGTTGGGGCTCACCCACAAGTACATACATTTTCAGAGACATTACAAATGGACAATGAATTGATCACAGAATTGAATAGGAGGAAAAGAAGGGACTGAATGTCCTTTGGGAAGCTATAGTTCCTTTAATGTTCTTTTATAGTTTTTATTTATAGTTTCATAGTTCTTTTAAGCTTTTCCCTGAAACAAAAACTCATCTTTTTAATACCAAAATTCTTACAGGCCAGTTGTATGGAACCCTGGAGTCTTCAAAGGACTGAAATTAAAAATCACCCTAAGTGGGAGATGTACATTTTAGGAGTGAGCAAATTTCGACATATTACAAACAAAGGATTATGAAGAAGAAGAAGCAGTATAAAGAAATGTATGATAAAAAAAAATGGGCTGAGAGTGAAGAATCATTGATAGGCAGCCTGCATGTTCCATTCTTATCCTTGTGAGATAAAGAGTTGAGGAAACCTCCTATCATATGAGGTGGAGCTCCTCTGACTAAGTTACAAGAGATCAGGGTTAAGAGTCCCATAGAACAGGCAAGCATAGATAGCTTACAATCTAGTCATCACCTGGCTCATCACCAGATTGGCTGCTTGGTAATTAATTTTTTGTTCCATAGCAGTTCTCAAAGTCATACAGGGTTCGCTATCTGCATCATTAAAAGGAATATCCACACTGGGGAAATCACAGATCTCTAAAGTATTAAGTGATAAAATATAAAATGAAACAATGGCATTTCTAGAAAATGCCATTTTTTCTTCTTTAAGAGAAACATTTTGTTGATGCTCTTTTTTCTGTCACTGAAACTTCCCGTTGAATCTCCCCTCCAACAGCACTAACCTATCCTTTATATCAAAAACAACTACATTAAGTAAAGTTCAATACCTTAGCCGTGTATGACAACATATGTCTCAGTCTTATTTATGGTCCACTTATCTTTCTGTAGAGAGATGGGAGGCCTGCCTCAATGTCAGTCCTCTGAAGTCATGATTGTCATTTAACCTGGTGATTTGTATTGACACAATGGAATATTAGATTGTATTCAAAACTATTACTACATGGTGTTCAGAGAAATCACAAATTCAACAATTTCAAGAGGTACTGACTTCTGAGAGGCAGTGTAATGAAACAATGGTGTCAAATCAGATATAAACAGGGCCCATTAAGATGTTTAACCCTACAGGCCACATATTGACTTTAAAACCGCATATTAACATTATCTATGTTCTATTGTACTTTTATTTATTTTGTTAAATATTCCCCAACTACATTTTAATCTGGTTCAGAATGTTGGTCCGTGCATTTGATACCTCTGACATAATGTATAGGGAGCTGGACCTAAGAGTTAGAGAGACTTGTATTCAAGTCCCACTTCTAATTCATATTGTCCATGTAGCCCTAAGCAAGTCACTTAATTTCTCAGTACCCCTAAGTAACATTCCCAAACTATAAATTGCAGGGAAAGTATTGATCTGCATTGGCAAAGGAAGTTTCTCACTGGGAACTCCTTGTACTGATGAAGTCAGGAATCTATCCAAAAAATTGGCTTCTGTATATCCTACTCTACTTTAACTAGAAATTTGCCACCACTGCCCTTATAAACACTCTGAGCCCTAATTTTCGGGATAATACCCATCTCACACCTGTTAGGAAAAGCAAAAGAAATCACACCTGTAAAGTGCTTTGTAAATTTTAAAGTACCATACAAATGTAAGCTATTATCTCCCCTGTCAAGCAAATACTATATCATGTTTTATTTGTGGAATGATTATCATTCAAATATCTATGTCATTTATAGTTATCTCTGGCAGTGTCTTCTGTTCAGAGAGTAGAGGTCGCAGATGGCCATAACTAGATCTTTCTGACTAGCACGGTACAGAGGCTAAGTCAGCATCATTTTCAGGTGAGAATTCTGTGGGAGCTTTCTGATGATGACACTGGAAACTAAATGACTTGCCCATATTGACACCGCTAGTAAGTGATCCTGCCAGCATTGAAACCTAGGTCTTCTTAACCAAAATCAAGTCTTCATATTTGTGGGGGAAGTATGGCCAATTTCTAGTTAGAGTAGGATGCACAGAAGTCAAATTTTGACTTGATGTCATCAGTGTAAGGAGCTCCCAGGGAGGAACTTCTTTTGCCAGTGCGGACCAGCACTTTCTCTTCAAGTTATACTCTTGGGGAGTTGCTTAGGGGTATCAAAAAGTTAAGTGACTTTCTTAGGATCACATAGACAATATGAGTTGGAGGTGGGATTTGAATAGAGGTCTTCCTGACTCTAGGTCCCACTCCCTATACTCTACATCAGAGGTATCAAACATATGGCCCAACAGTCTGGCCACTAAGGATCCTATTACTGGCCTCCCTCCCCCCCCGCCCGGTAACTCCCAGAGGACAGCTAGGTGGTGTCGTAGTGCATAGAGGGCTGGGACTGAAGTCTGGAAGACTCATCTACCGGAGTTCAAATGTGGCCTCAGACACTTACTAGCTGTGTGACCCATGGCAGGTCACGTAACTCTGTTTGCCTCAGTTTCCTCCTCTGTAAAATGTGTTGGAGAAGGCAAGCACAAACCCCTCCAGTATCTTGGCCAAGAAAACCCCAAATGTGTCACAAGGAGTCGGACACAACTGAAATGACTGAGCGAATAACTTCCATAACATTACAATTTGTAGCTCTTATCACCTGAGAATTTCATTTTCTTTTTGGGGGATGGTGGTGGTGTTGGTAGTGGTGGTCATTAGTAAATATTTAGAATATATTTGGAATAAATAAATATATTTAAATACATATGTTCCAACTGCAGCCTCAAATCCCTGTTCCAAATTCCTACCTCAGCACAAAGGTTCTGGGTTGGCATCATGAATGGTGGTCACAACTGGTATGTATTGAAGAGTTCCTCAAACCAGTGGCCTTCTGGAAATCAAGAGGAAATTTTTAAATGTTCCTATATCTGTTTTTAGTTCAGTGACCTTGCCAGACAACTTGGTGCTGTGGTGATGGGCACAATAGACATAGGGATGTGTGTGTGTGTGTGTGTGTGTGTGTGTGTGTGTGTGTGTGCGTGTGCGTGTGTGTAAGGGGTGGGGAGAGAGAGAGGAAGTAATAGAGAAGATTGTGATGAGGAGGCTTTCAGTGACCACTTTGGGATGTGGACTTATGGGTATGAATTTAGAGACACTCCAAGGAAATAAAATTAAGTTAATAACTGGTCTGAGCTCTCTAAAGAGAAAATTACAGCTCTGGAAGGAAGTACAGCCGGGCCTTTCCAGTTCAGGGCCAGGGGCTGGGAATGGTACATTCTAGTCTTATTATTGTGCCCGTAACATGTCAGGCAGAGATGTGTCCTAAGTTTGGAGCCAACCGAAAACAGCACATATGTGCATTAGGCTCTGATTCATCTTTATACATTCTACTGCATTTAGGAGCATTCTTGCTCTGCTTCTCTCCATTGCTACTTAAAATGGGGCTTGACATGTACTATAGCCTCCAAATATTGTGGTCAAACATGGGTTATTCGTTTATGGTGGGGAGGCAGGAAAAGTAGAAGAGGGAATTCTTGGGAACTCACTCCCACTCTACCCAAACTCCTAGAGTGAGAGAGAATCATAGGGCTATCTATAGCAGCAAAGAATGCCCAAGCCATCTGGGACTTCTCAGGGTGTGGGTGGTAGGGAGATGAAAGCATAGGGAGCTATTGCTTAGTCCAGGGGTGGGGAGCCTGCGGCCTTGAGTCCACGTGTGACCCTCTAGGTCTTCAAGTGTGGCCCTTTGAATCCAATCTGGATTGGCCATACTTGAGGACCTAGAGAGGGCCACATGTTGCCTCAGTGCCACAGGTTCCTGACCCCTGGTTTAGTTCAATCATTTTGGAAAACAATTTACAATAATGAAAAAACAGACAAACAAACAAACCCTAAAACAACTAAAATGTCTCTATCCTTTGACCCAGAGATCCTACTTCTAGGCATATAAACCAAGACAGGTCAAAGGGAGAAAGAAAAGTGCCATGTAATATGAAAATATTCATAGCAATACTTACTGAAGTAGCAAAGAACTGAAAACAAAGTGGATGTCCACTGACTGGGTAATGACTGAACAAATACATGAATATAATAGAATGTTATTGTAATGTACATATGTATAGGAATGTAATAGAGTATTATTGTACTTTTAAAATTACACATGTGGACAATTTAGAAAAACATGGGAAGACATATGAGGTTAGGAATAAATAGATCTTGAAATCATCTGTACATGTAAACTGGTGCTATATGATGTCACTACCAATGTAAACAAAAAGACCAACCCCCTAAAAATGAAGCTGAACACTGTGTAATTATAAAGACCAAGTTAGGTCTTGGAGAAGAGATAAGAAAAGGTACCTCTCTTGTTTTGTTAAAGAGACAAGGTAGAGTGGAAGAGTATATCACAAGGACTGAGTAAATTGAAAGAGGTGAGAAGTGAGTGTATTTAAGGGAATATTGCAATGGATGTTGAAGTGTCCTGTTATGGGGGCAAGATTTGGGATGTAGCAAAAGACTATAAACCAGGAGTGGAACTCATTGTTGAAGGAATAAGAATATTATGGGTAACTAGATAATGGCCACCAGGATCTGGATTGGATGATAAATTTGAATAGTATAAAACTCAGAGGAGAGATTACTGGATGATGGTAGTAGGAGAGTCTAAAAGAGGAAATGGGTAGAAAGGAGTATTTCAACTCACCCACCAGGATCAGTGAGTCAGGAGGTATGAGTCACAGTGCAATTAGTACTAGAAAAGGTGGCCAGGGATGCAGTATCATCTGGAGGGAGCCAGGTCTCAGTGAGTACGAGAAAATGGTAGGAGTGTGAAAGAACAAGGTTTGAGATTAAAGCGAGTTTGTTAATTATAGAGCAGGTATTCCAGAGAGTACAGAAAAGGGTTGAGTAGATCTGGAGTAATACATTTGGGAACTAGGGTTGGAGGGCATGAGAGTGCGGGAGTAGGCAGTTGGGGGTAGGGAATGGAGCTGTTTTTCATCAGCCAGGAGTTTAGAATCACTGGAATGAGGAACATTGAGAAGTGAGTTCAGGGAGAGTACCAGAAGCTGAAGAGAAGTCTGTTGAGAGAGACTGGGGATTAGATTGTTCGAGGCCCTCTCTCAAAGTCCAGGCTCACGCCAGGGGGTGGTGATATGTCTCGTGAAGCCCAGGAGGCCCACCTCCCAGCAGAAAGGAGCAGGCGAAGGTATGACCTAGGGAAGCCCAGACAGTAAGCAGAAACTGGGAGTTTGAAGTGGGTCTGGTGCGGAAAAGGCCTCCAGAACACTGGAGAAGTCTGTAATGAAGAGTGAGTGGCATCAATATAACTTTAAAAAAGAAAAGGTACATAGGACTGAAATTCATAAGTCCTGAGTCTTGTTCCAATTCTGTCGCTCTTACATATGCTGTGTGGCCTTGGGTAAGTCACTCTACCTCCACAAGGCTAAAGTTTTCTTATTAAGCTCCTTGAGGCAAGGACTATTCTATTTTTTAATCTTTTGTTTCTTCAGTGCCCAGTACAGTGCCTGGGATATTGTCGGTGCTTCATAAATGTATGCTGATTGATTGGTTGACCTGTAAAATGAAGAAATCAGACAAGCTGATCTCTAGGTCCACTTCCTATAGATCATGAGAGAGAGTATGGTATAATGGATGTGGCATTGGATTTGGAATTAAGAAGGCCTGGATTAAAATCCTACCTCTGACACTGTGTGATGCTGGGTGAGTGACTTAATTTCTCTTTCCTCATCTGTAAAGTATGTGGAGGCAGGAGTGAGGAGGGGAGTGCTTAATTTGATGGTCTTCTAAGGTCCTTTTCATTTCCAAATTTATGATTCTATGATCCAATTCTAAATTTGTTATATCTCAACAAAGGAGGGTTTCTTCTGGTGGGCCCACAGTGGAAGATCTTGGCCTATTATAACCAATCACACAACAGCTTGCTCCCCACGGAACAATTCTAACACTCTATAACCCTGAGCAAAACACTACTTCTCTAAATGTCTGGTCACTTACTTGCAATGAGGGCTACTTTTAATCTAGGCTCATAAGGGTTTGGTGGGCTTTGGATGAAAAGTAAATATATAGGTTATTTTTTATCACATCCAGTGGAGATAATAGGGACTATGTTGGGGAATACCAAAGAAATACACTTGGGTTCAGCCTTCAGGGAGAATATACATGAAACAATCATAGAACATTATCTTTATCTCCTTCATGAGTAAAATAAATTATTATAGCCTTCAGGTTCTTCATCTATAAAATGAGGGCATTGGACTCAATGACCTCTAAGGTCCCTTCCAGCTCTAAATCTAAGGTCTTGTGATTCCCTACTTTATCACCGTCATTGATGGTCTTCCTTAGCAAGCCTTCCCCAACTGGTCCAGCCCAAATTAATGCCCTTTGAACTTCTGAAGTAATCACATCTGAATCCCATTGTTCAACAGTAAAATTTTTAATAGCTTAAAACTTACTTTTAGGACATCTTGCATATTATGCTGTTCAACATTCATTCATTCACTCATCATACAACAGTCAGTTATGAAGTGGCTACAATGTGCAAAACTTTGATATTGTTTCATGTGTGTCTCATCTCTTTCCTGAGGATAGGGATTTGGACTTCTGTATCCTTCCCCCCACCAGTATTGGGCAACTCAGTTCAACTAAAGTTTCTGAAGTGCCTACTGTGTGCAAGGCAGTGTGTCATGTACAGGGGATAGAAAGTTAAAAACAAAACTGTCCCTATTTTCAGGAAGCTTACTTTCCACCTGGGGAAACTAGGGATGTATGGATAGAATTAAATGAACACAGATGAGTATAATGCAAGGCAATTTGAAGAGGGAGAAAACAGTAACAACTGGGGAAGATAAGGGAAAACTTCATAGAGAAGATGGTAATTTGAAGGAAGATAAGAATTCTGAGAAGAGGGGGAAGCTATGGAAGATGATTTGTGTGAATTCAAGGAGGTCAGAGATGCAGTAGCAATTCTGAGAAACAGCTCTTAAGCTAGTTTAGCTGGAACACGGCATTTGTTTAGGGGTATGCTAGGAGATAAGGGTGGAGAAGAGTTAAAGTAAGAGCCAGATTACTGAAGACCTGAAATGCCAGGTTGAGGGATTTGAATGTTATCTTAGAAACAATGAGGAGTTACTGAAAGTTATTGAGAAGGGGAGCAACATAGTCAGTCCTGTGCCTTAGGAAGATAATTTTGTCAGCTTTGAGAAAAAGGCACTGGACAAAGATCAAAGAATGAGGAAAAGGACCCATATGTCCAAAAATATTTATAGCAGCTCTTTTTGTTATAAAAAAAAGAAATGGAAACTATAGAAGTACTCACCATTTGGGCAATGGCTGAACAAACTATGGTATGTGAATGTAAAGGAAAATTATTGCCCCATAATAATGATGGAGATGGTTTCAGAGAAACCTGGTGTAACCAGTTGATTCTGGCCCTGTTTCCTAGAGCCAGGCAAGCTATATCTGATCCCTCGGGGTTCTAAGGAGCTCTGAGAGGATTTGGGGTTCTTTCTTCTAATGCCATTGGCTCAAGTTCCCATTGGCTGTGTTGTTAGGGTCTAGTGACTCAGTTCCATTTAATTACTCTGCATCAATTAGCTTTTACAAAATGATATTTACTTCACACATATAATAAGAACACAGTGTAAATAGCACACACACATACACACACACATGTGTACGTGCTCGCACACACACACACACACACACACACACACACATCCCAAAGGGACCAAAAGTTCCCTTCTGGACCTTTTGAATTTACAACATCAGAGAATCCAATCCTTTCACCTAAAATGGAAAAGAGCAAATGCTGAATCCAAGCATATTTCTTGGGGTCCTATGGCCTTGATTGGGAGAAGGCCTCATCATATTTCCCCAATACATTTTGCCAGGAAGACTTACAGGAATTGATGCAGAAAGGAAGTGAGCAGAACAGGGGAACAATTTATCTAATAACAACATTGTAAAGAAAAACAATTTTGAAAGACTTAAGAACTCTGATCAGTGCAATGACCAATCACAATTCCAGAAGTAATGATGGACTCAAGATGTAGAATAAGACATACATTTTCAGATATAGCCAAGGTGGGGAATTGTTTTGTTGGACTATACATATTTCTCACAAAAGTTTTGTCTTTTTTTGCCCAATGGTGGGGGAAGGGGAGAAGTGGAGTTGGAGGGAGAGCTGGGTGCTGGAAAAAGAAGAGAAAGTAAAAGGAGTCAATGTAGCTTTTTTTTTTAATGTACAGATCACAGGAGGAAGGCCAGAAAAAATCACAGACAAGCAGGACAGCTTTGAAAATTACATATTGAACTGCTTATATATTTTAAAAGAAAAGCAAGCTGTATATACATAATATTCACATCTTTTTTCTGTTCTACTATATATATGGGAATGTTTGTTTTATTTGATAATAAAAATAATAGCTAACATTTCTATAGCATTTCTCTATATGTGCTAGACACTGTACCAAGCTTTTTATAATCACTATCTCATTTGAACCTCATAACAACCCTGGGAGGTAGGTACTATTGTTATCCTCATTTTACAGATGAGGAAACTGAGGCAAATAGGGTTAAATGATTTGCTCAGAGTTGCACAGCTATTAAGTATCTGAAGCCTGATTTGAACTTAGGTTTTCCTAACTCCAGACTGGTACTCTATCCAATGAGCTACCCATTGGCCTAGTGAATGATGATAAGTTCAAAATTTTTAAAAAAAAAAAAAGAATTTTCAAAAGAAGGGAATTGGAGAGGAGAGAGACTGGAAGCAGTCCAGGTAAAAAGTGATAAAATGGGGTGGCTAGGTGGCGTAATGGTTAGAGCACTGGCCCTAGAGTCAGGAGGATCTGAGTTCAGATCCAACCTCAGACACTTGACACTTACTAGCTGCGTGACCCTGGAAAAGTCACTTAACCCCATTGCCTAGCCAAAAAAAAAAAAGTAGTAAGACCCTGAGTAGGGTATTATAAGAGGAAAGAGATGGATGTAAGAAATATTATGGAGGTCAAACTAACAAGACAGAAACTGTAGGCACAGTTTTATACTCAGTACTTACTGATTTTTAAATTATCAATTGAAGATGAGATGCTTTTCCAGACTTTTCTTCCAATTGTATCAAGGAGCTTCTGTTTAGAATAAAGGATTGAATGCACTGCTCACTTCTCAAGGTGTCCTTCTATCACCGAAAAACCATAGAATCATAGATCTAGAAGGCAACTCTGAGACAATCTTATCCAATCCCCTCATTTTAGAGATGAGAAAACTGAGGCCCAGGATAACCAAGGAACTTGCCCAATAACACAGTGGTAATAAAGTACCAGAAGCAGGATTTGAACTCAGGTCCCCTGCTCCAGAGACCACAATCTTTCCATTGTGTTACACTAGAAAGGAAGACAGAAGGGCAGTTTACACTTCCTTCCAAATCAGAGATCAGAAGCAAAGCAGCCCTTTAACAGAGAAGCTTGGAAAATCTTGTGGATAGGAGACTCTGTGCTCAGTAAATAGGGCTGCCAGCTTGCGTGGTTACAAATATTCCACCCAAAGAAATACAGAGAAAGACAGAGACAGACAGAGACAAACAGAGACACAGAGACAGAGAAACAGACACACACACACACACACACACACAGATTTAGTTGGTTAATTTATTCTCCCTTGGAACAATGTCTTGAATGCTTCCCCCCCTTCTTGGCAGCTATGGAGCTCATTGGAAAGGACTCAGAGAGGTTGGAAGCTGGAGTCTGACGTTCATTTTAAACAGATGTTCATGGCAGTACAGATTTGCTCTTCCTAATGGCCAATGTAAATGACTCCCATTTGTCAAGATCTCAAAAGATGTAGTAACTTCTCAGGTCAGTTCTCTTCCGTGCTGGGAGTTGACTATGGAAAAATTCTCCTAACTTAAGGCTGATTCTAATCCAAGGCTGATGGGGGAAAAATGAAGGGAGTAGAGGTGGAGTGGCTAGACATTGATCACTTTCAGAAGGGAAGTATCTCCAGATATAGGGATAGGAGATAAGAACGGGACCTTTGATTCCACTGGTATCCCAGGTGAGGCAAGCTCTTCTACCAGTGAAGGTCAGCATCTAATGTCTTGCCTAGAACTCTGAAAGGTTAAGTGGTTTTCCCAGGGTTATAGAGCCGGTATGTGTGAAAGGTGGAACTTGAACCCAGGTCTTCATAGCTCCATGCTGGATCTAAGTGCTATGCCATACTGCCATTTATCTCCAGATATATCAGTTAGCAATAACCTTAATAGGAAGCCATGTCCAGAAATCTAGAAAGCATGTGTATACACACACACACACACACACACACACACACACACACACACACACACACTCCTTGTGATTTTAGGATCTCACAGAACAGGATGTCAGGGATCTTTCCTAGCCAGGCCAAATTTAGGGCAAAATTATGAAGTGGGAAAAGGTTTATCTTTGGCAGCTTTTAAGGTAGCTCTTTCCTCAACAGTTCCAGTGCCTTCCTCTTCTTGCTCTTTACTGAGGGCTTTGTCCTCCTCAAGCTCCCCTTTCACTTAAAAATTAAGCTGTCAAGTGTGTGTCTCAAGTCCAAGAGAACACTGGTTGGGGGAGGGGAGTGGAACGTGTGGATGGCAAAGTCTTATGTGCCTCCCTTAAGCCAGGAAATTGTGGAGAGGAAGAGAATCTAGAATAAGACTGGGAGGCAAATAACGACTT